ATGTGCAGAACTATTTTTAAGGTCAACATAGCTAACCTCTCAGGGTACACTTCAAGGAAAGCCTCACGCACAAAGGTTTCAAGTCTAACCAAATGACCGTTGGCACCTCGCTTAAATAAAAAACCGCTTTGTAGCGGTGATATTATGTGATTAGATTCCATATACCAAAATTAGTCTTGAAGTTATCATCCGCTCTACAGTTTTACAAACGCAACTCGTGAGTGATATTGGGCGGTAACTGGAGGGATCTGTCGTGTCTTTACCCTGTTTGGGGATAGAAATCACAGTAGCCTTTTCCCATGACTTTGGGATATTACCCGATCTAAAAATATAAAAAAAATATCAAGAAGTGTTGTTAATGATGACTCTGGTAGATGTTTTAGGAACTGATAATGAATATCATCAGGTCCTGTTGCAGAGTCATGCGATTTTGTCAACGATTCTCGAAGTTCTAACATTGAGAAAGGTTGATTGTAAGTTTCATTGTGTTCGGAAAAGAATTTCTATTCAGCTTTTTCTCGCGTGGTCTTAAAATTTTAAAATGTTTTGGAATTACTACTTGCAGACGAAATTTTGGCAAAAGAAGATCCTAAAGCATTTGCTACATCAAATTTCAATGTAACTAATTTTCCATTTGTTTCAGATTTGGACACATAAGATCTCCAAGACAATTTTTTGTGTAAGCGTACAACATGACGGGCTTTCGCACGAATACTTTTGTAGTTGTTTAAGGTATCGCTTGTGGGGTTGTTTTTGAATTGCCTCAAAGCGGTTTTTCCTATTTCTAATAGATTTACCACAATTTTCATTAATGGAAGGTTTTTTGTTGTTTTCTTTTGAACTTCGGAATACATTCTCTATCTCAAATAGTTCGGTAGTAAAGGATTCTATCGGGTCTTCTGAATTCAGGAAATCAATGGTTGAGAATTGTGGTACTGTAATGTTCAAATTTACTCCAATCTACTTTATATAATTTCCAATGGGGTACATGATCGCTCTCTTTGGATCCACACTTCCTTAGAAATATTGGAAATTGATCGCTTCCATAGAGATCGTCATGCACCGTCCAATCAAAATCGAGTAAAAAAGATGGAATCAGTGAGGAGTGCAATCCTTTCTGTTCGGAACACGCTGTCATACCTTTCTGTTCGGAACACTGTACCACTGCACGTTTGCACTCTGACGAATAGAAAGGGCTGGCTTCACATTCGGATAACTCCATTTCATCACCGTTGCAATGGAATTTGAAGGGCCATATGGAATATGCTTGACCAGAAGAACTGGCATTCACCGCAGAGATCGAACCATTGCTGAAACAAGACAACTTTGTTACAAAAAATATATATACGTGGGCGTGTAACAATATTGTTTTTATTTGTATTTTCAAAAATATATGAGATGAGAAAGACACGAAATGTAAATATGATAATAACATAGGCACAATTAGTGATGTGTATCAGGAGGGTCACCAAGAGTAGAAAACGAGGCCCAGAATAAAAAGAAAGCAAACGATTAAGATCGCAATTATGCTGCAGGCTGAGGTGGTGTGGGCCGCAGAAGAACTATAATGGTCTCTTCAAACTCTCCTTGTTGGAGGACACGGAATAAAATCCACGGTGGTTTGCAAAAGCAAATGTCAGTTTATACAAACCCCGAGTAACCCAGCATACGGCAGGCAACTGCAGCATCATTGTTGTCCCAGCCGTCAGCACAGAGTATATGCCAATCTATACCATTTGACAGTTCGATTGTCCCCTCGTTAGGCTTCACACCAATAAGATTGATGTAAAACCTTTCACCTGTCAATAATAAACATCGATTTAAACTTAACAAAAGCATTATACGTCTAAGTATGCATATCATGTACAGTATTCTTTCCCAATAAAACAAATGATGAAACGGGCGATATTTAAACTGCGGTTACAATTCATAGTATGCGTTTTTTAAAACAAACGAAACAACAACAAATGAAACTCTCACTCGTATCGAAAAAAACCCATTACCTCAGGTCAACCTCCATGTTAGCCTATGATCTATCCCTCTAACTCGCATTTAACAATGACCATTTTCGAAATGCAACTCCATGTAACAAAGTTAACATTAACTTTGCTGTCATTCGATAGGAAAATGTACAAAATAAACGGGTAAATAAAACCCTTCATCAAACATATCAAATTATAAACATTTTACCTTAATGAATTTAATCAAGAAGAAAATACTGATTTAACAAAAGAATTAATTAACAGCAAATTTTGTACTGTAAGGAAAAATAGAACAAAAGATTTACATGGAAACCCCTGGAAATGTAGAAGGGAAATATAACCATGTGCTCCGGAAGGTTATTCTGCTTTATAGAAAACTCCTGCAGTGTTTACTGTTTTAAATTACGTAATTAAATTAAATTAAATTAAATGGAGTATGAACATCTTATAAGCATGGTAGTCCAGGTAATGAAGTCAGATTATTATACTTCAATATCAATCCAAACATATTTGTAGCAGGAACTGCTGATAAATCCCTTAGTTAACTTTGATAAGGTTTATCAATATTAAACAACAAAGACCGATATATCAACAAAATCTTAATTTAACGCCAAATGCAGGACATTATATGAATAAAAGGAATATTTATATGCAACGGAGACTCCTGGAACTGTAACGGGAAACAAGACCAAGTGTTTATGAAGGGCTAGTGTCTTCTGCTTAATCGACGACATACATCATGCACGGCTTAGGCAATCCAAGTTAGAAATGTAATGTTCCCGCATGAGAACATGGCAAACAGCTATCGAGTCGTGAGATGTCAACACCTTATTGGCGACTCAAATAAGAAAGTAACCGATGTAATGATATGGATGGGAACTTTCCACACAATTCATTAAACAAAACGTAACTCCTAATTTTACATCAATTTACGCCAAAAGAATAAGTTAATTCTGGGCCATGATTTAAATGAATTGAAACACTTAAAGACGATTGATGTACTGTATTCACGAATGAGACAAGAAAATTTACACATGGGTTTCATGACGCCATTTGGTCTATCATCGTATTGTATGATATGCTGGTTTTCTTCGAGAAACGGACCGTGATAACCACCGCATTTTCCGTTTTTCTCAAGGCGAAGAATACCGCTACAAAAAAGAGAATACCCAAGTAAATATCGATGAATTGAAGTTTCACTAATTTTGAGAAATTTAGGACATCATCAACAAGTAAATATTATCAATATTATAGATTAATTATGAAATAGGTAACAAACAAATACGACGGAAATTGTGAATATTGTTCCGATACAAAGCTAATGCATTTGTTTAACATAGTCCTACGAGTAAAGAACTGGTTATATTACATAATGGTTTTACGTACGTATCTGTCATACAGTAAACCCATTCTCCGAGTATGTATAAAGTATAACATAGAGGAATTCCTGTGAAGATGGTATCGTCCATACTGTTATTATTGACACATCTCTTCCTTATTCCAGGCACACGTGTGTCCATCCAAAATACATTGTCACCTAAAAATAGCGTGAACATTTCAATATATATATTTTTTTGACAATTTTAACATTTTCTTTAGGTAACACAACGTAATATCCCAGAGTCAAAACGATTGGAAAGTGATTTGGGGTCCGAATTGAGTTACAGTGGTGAATGGAGCGAACAACATAAGAAAATCATAGTTAACCACCGGTTCATGACTTTGGCTATAGATGAAGGAACCTGTGATTTTGGAGGACCATGGACATTTACCACGGGCACTTTGCATACTCCACTTATCACTTCTTGTTTTTGCTATGTATATATGTCAAATTCATCACATCACCGTCGTTTGTATAGCCTATTACGTTTATAACAACACATATAGGTGGAGTAAATAATAAATTTTGCGTCTGATTCCATAAACCTATGAAATAAGAAGAATGATTATCGGTTTTTTTAAAATTGAATATTGTGCACATCGTTTTCTTAATTGCAACAAACCTGAAAAAGCAATGCTTGTGACAGCCCCAGAACTGGATACGGCTGATAAGATACCTCTGGATGTTCCATTGTAATAGGCTCGCTCTATTACTTGTTGACGGGTGATGAACCAATATACTTCTCTGTCAATATTTAAATTCGGATATATAAACAAACGTTGGGTGAAGGAATGAAAAACACTTTTCTGTTTGAATATACCGGAATATGGTAATCACGTTATCCCATATTCCGTACTAAAATATGGCCTACACAACCTATATATATAAATATATATCAATTTGTTCTATTCATGCCCTATATTATAATTATCACAGTCTTTACGGGCCGTCAACACATAAAAGATCATTTGGGCCATCAACCAGTGAAACACACAGCGATTCAAAATGGGGGGGGGGGGGGGAGGGGGGAGAAGGATATATTATCAAGTTATAAATTATAGACTTGTAAGAAGGGCGCTGGTTGTGTGCCCATTCCAATTACATGACCGTAAATAAATCTCTTCTGTACTAATCACTTTCCCTTCTTAATGCACCCCCGTTTCCCATAACACTCAGTTTCCGCCCGTTCTGTTCCGAGGCCGTGAAAGTCACCAACCCGGTACTCGATGACACAATTTTGCGCTAATTGAAGTGCTCACGGCATAGCTAAGGACTGGTCTCTTCCAATACTAAGCACGAAGGAATGGCTTCTTCCAATGCTTAGCTTAGGATTGGCCTCTTACAATAACTGGCCTCTTGCAAAACTAAGGAATAGCCTCGTCCAATACTTAGCTTAGGACTGGTTTCTTCCAAAACTTAGCTAAGGACTGGCATCTTCCAATGCATAGCACTAGGTTGGGTGTTTAAGGCTAAATAAGTGCCATATTCCACTCTTTGTTCAAATGTGCGAGAAGGATAAGTTTTATGAGAATGCAAATAAACATCTTACTTGTTTAATGGATCCAGAGCCATTGTATGTGCGTATGTTGTATTAATAACGACGGTCGGTGAAGCAGTGGGGGAGTCCAGATTCAGTACCGATATCGTACCATCCAAATAATAAAACAAAAGACGCTCTTCTTTGTCCAAGGCGAATTGGTGTATTGATACTCCAGACGCTGGAATGTTATAAAATCATACTTCAAAAAAGTTGTTATGTTTGAGGTATTAAACAGATTCAGCATAATACCAATCATAAAAAAATATTAGATTGACACAGCAGAATTGAATTCTATGAATACTGTTTTTTGAAACATTTCAAACATTTTGTCTTTGGTGCTAACAATGCGGCAATATAAATCGGATAAAAGTAAAATGGGTTGGTGAAGTTTCATCTGAGAGCTTTAACGTATGGGTCGAATGTATTTACGATATCAAAATGACCAGTTTCAACATAGCGAGGTAAAAAAAAATATCCGACGCAAATGGTCTTACCAAACGCGTGTATTAGGTTCTTTCCGACTCCCCATCTACAGCCCCAAAAAGAAGAATCCTTGAAGTAAATGACCTGGTCATACAAAGAATCATACACAACACTGCCGTCGATGGCGGAGATGCAAGCTGTATTCATATCTACTATACCACTCATTGTGTCGATATTCGTCTTCGATAGTTTGTTGTTTCTTGTCTCTCGTAAAAAGAAGTCATATTCAGGTGGAGCTAGAACAGAACGTGAACTTTACACATATTTGGTTCACAAAAAAGAGGAGTTAAAGTTAAATTAATTAGACCAGTGAAAATAGCATAAAGGAACAGAAATGTAAGTGACATCTGAGTTAGATATCTGGTGTGATCAGCTGATTACCTACAATGTCCATATTTCGTCACGTCGGTGATATTTCTCCTTAAAGTGAAATACAATACAAACTGGTATTTTATGTCAAAACCCGAAGTGACACAGTATAAAGGTCTACTGTAATGTGGTTTTTCATTACAAGTGATTATCAGAATTAAACACCATGCAACAGTCAACATGCTACGACGGCGGGGTCAACGTATGATAGAGTCACGAACGGACGCGTGCTGTTTATTTTGCTATCACACTGATATGCAATAATCTCGACACAAATACAGGAATAAAAAAAACGGAAAAAGCGGAATTTATGTAAAACGAAACAAAAAATGACAAGTAAAGTGGTATGAAGAAAAGGGTTATTTCAGAATATTAAATCTAGACAGTCGGTACAAATATCTAACATGTCTTATCCACATCTAACGTTGACATATCAGGTCTTATCTACAAACCTCCTATGATACACCTTAAAACTGTTTCTATGCTTGTGAAGTAGGAGCTATTGATGTTGAAATATTTGTTTTGTACATAATATCTCCTTGAAACGTTTGATTTATGAATTTACAATAGAGAGTATTTTCTCAAGACGGTACAGGTTTATTGATCAAACATTCCTATTGATATGTATTACGTATGATGTCTTGTTTGATATCGGCGATGTGTTTCATGATCAATGTATTAAATTATTTTACGGTTTGCTTAAACTTTAATAAAAATATAAATTTTCCATTCGCGTGAGTTCAAAACATACAACTAGAAAATGTCTGTAGGACATCAATACCAGGAGAGACCCCAAAACACATTCAAAATGTTCTTTCATATTTTGTCGAGATTGTGCAAAGATTCGGTTTAAAGGTTAGATATTGTAATATATTTATGAACGTTTTGTATCTCTGTGAAGGGCTAAACAGGCTGAATGCAACATGTTCGGACTCTTTTAATAGGTTGTTCTAAACAAGTCATCCTCAGTAAAATACCAGAACTGACGAATGAGTTCTAAACTATGCTTCCACTTGTCATGTATTTCATATCAAAGGTCGGACCTGCGTAACATATGCATATATCATGAAACCTTGTTTCTGTAACAATAAGAGAGTTAACATTCGTGATTTTACAATAGGTATGTGTATTAAGTATAGATAATATTATTGTTTCTGTTATAGAAGTACAAACCTGGACTTGATGAACACTTGACGCCTACTGTGGTGTGTCCTGCTGTAGACGATAACCTGTCGGTGTTGCACTCAGATAGAGATGTTTCATTACCATGACAACTGAATTGGAACACCCAAATAGAACGTGACACTGTTGGTAACGTGGAGCCGAACATTGTTCTTGCTCCGTCACTGTAAATAGAATTAGCAAAGAACAGTTATATGTTTGTGATAGTGTTTTACCACTAAGAAATTAATAATGTGTTCCACATTGCATGTAGATATTATCACAGCAGTTCACTCGAATACAACAGTAAGGTTTAGTGTATGCTGTTGTTTTTATATCTGAGGTTTTAGTGGTAAAAATGAGAACATATCGCCAATAGCGAATATATTTGAGGTGTACATTTAATCACGAACGGTTTAATTCCTAATGCCATTGTGTGAGAAGGGAATTAGTTGAGTTGGTGTTGCTGCATCGTCGAAAACTATGGTCACAGAAATGTGAGCTTACAACACTTTGTTTGCCATATAGGTACATTAAAGTTCACTTCAAATTACCTACCCTTGGTATCCAAGCATTCTACACGTCACCTCGGCGTTTCTGTCAGTCCATCCTTGAGGATGAAGAACAAACCACGATAGACCATCCGAGAGCTCTATTGTCCCCTCATCAGGGTGTTGTGTGTACAGATTAATGTAATACTCCTGACCTGTCAACAACACGGCAAATAATTACTCATAAGTGTAGAAAGTCTTTGAATGTGGTTATTGATTAATGAGGTAATTTCAACTGCTAATGACAGAAAATTTCAATGCCGATTTCAAAACATTAGTTATTCTTTCGTGCAGAATGTAACAATAAACAAAAGGCACGCATGACTCGCTCCGCTCACATCAAGATGCCAACGGGCATTAACGCTGAGGAACGAATGCGGAGACCTAAAAGGTATCAAAACCAGCAATACTTGATTAATGTTATACAACAATCCCACATATATTTTCAACAGCACCATTGTCACTCAAGAAGACTGAGTTACACTTGATAATGCTACTCTAGTGATCTCTTGACACGTTTGAGCTGAATCGTACAGGAGAAACTTTTAAAGTTTAAAATAAGTGTTGTTCAGGAAAACCATGATTGTGTAACCATGTTAACAAATGGCCGCCGTGACTGTAATGTCGAAGTTTCGAGGACGAAAAATAACCCATGCCATTTCCTGAACATTCACACCCATTTTCAATTCTATGACACCCATAGAACTTTATATAAAATGAGTTATTAAATTTGTTAGTCATGGTAACCATATTGTATTTCCAATTGATCCGTAAACAACATTTAATTAGTACCATCTTACATGTATATCAAGCAATTCTGAGCTTGTACCACTGGTATAACCGGCGAAGAAGTTTAAAACATAAGTATAGAATATTATTATTATTACTTTTTTAACGGCCCGTCAACATATAGACGGGTCATTAGGGCCATCAGCCGGCAAAACACACAGCGATCCAAAAGGAAATAACATCGAACAAACTAAAAGGTAAAAGACAAATGTTTAAAATCTTAAATGGGTATGTTAACATAAAAGATTAAAATGGTAAGTCATAGTCTATTATGTAGACCAACATCTTTCAGGTAATGTAGAATTTTACAAATCTCAAGTTTCAAAAAGGGATTTTAGACATGTAATGTTACGATAAAAACGTTCTCGAGTAGACAGAAGGTCAATGCAGTCCAATAAAAACGTTTAACGGTGAATGGCTCATCACAAGGATTGTCTTTGCCTTTCAACATATATGAATGTGTAAGGTATATATGACCATTCACCGATAACAGGTATAACGGAGTGCAATTTATAAGTATAGAAGGAACATTCTCATGCATAGATACTTGGTAAACTTACCTGTAACAGGTACAATGATACAACACAGTATACTGAGATACGATCCAAAGTTTGCTAATTCCATATCGAGAACTGAAACGATTTAATTCCCAAAATGGTAAGTAACATACGGATATACATGCTAGTTCAATGGCATGGTTATTACAGACGCAGTAACACTATGATATTGTCACACCTGTAAGGAAGCCATGTTATAAGCGTCAGCAACGTGGCGATAACGAGTAAACAGGAAAGGTCTTATCACACAGACGTTAGTAAATCAAATATTATTCAACAAATTGTTTTGTACACGTCAATATCACCAAGAGACCAAATAGTTCTGTCACTCAACTTATCTTCAATATTTCTCAATGATATATTTATCTTTAATATCATTAACCTTCAAAATGAGTCTAAGGAGGGACAAACTCCACATAATGGCATTAGCTCGCTTGGACATTTGCTTCCTAAATGGATTGGTATGAGTTCATTTACATTAAAAGCAGGGCTGATAATATCAATAAACTTTTTTTCATTTTACAACAATTGCGAAACAAGTTTTTTCCAGCTTATATTAATCACTCTTGCTGGCCCGGATTGAAGCGCGCGAGAGGTCTTAGTGTGGGAGGAAACCAGAGTACCCAGGGAAAACCCACGTGGTCGGGTAGATACCGTTCTTTAAGATCATCTATGCTTCGTTTGTTTGACTCATTTGCTTTGTGAGGATTACTCTACAGATGATATAATTCAAGAAATGTTATTTGAATGATAAGAAAAAAAACCTTGATATTGAACAAACATCTTATTTTGATAAAATGGAACATCAATATTCATAATGGTAATGGTGCATGCAATTAACGTACAATAATAATTAACAAAACTCAACAACTTACAATAACGTAGATGGTGCGTACATCTGCCTAGAAAACCTGACTGATCAGAGTCTGCAGTAAATAAAATGTAAAAACGTCACTTTCCATTAACATATAAGAAGAAAAAAAACCGAATATTAGCATCTCATTTTCGTCATATGTATGAATTGGAAACAATGATACTTATGGGTTTCCAAAATAACGTAGTTATGAAAAAAACATTTGTCATATGGTATGGTACATAGCATGATAAAAAACATTCAGGCACAGAAGTATGAAGTATACAAAAGGAAATACTCTTCAAATTTACGGAACCGTTCATTGTTGACATCAGACTGGGAAATCGAACATTCGCTGTTCTAGTATAAGGTGATTGCACTTTTATTTGTGCCATCAATACCTATTTTATATGACCAATGGTATAAAATAGATCAAGTTATCACAACATCTCTACAAATAAATCTACTTATACAATTAATTAAAAGGTGACTTACCTTAATAATGCCATCCTGTCTATTATGTGATTGTCAATTGCACTTACCTCATCGCCTCCGTTTATCTTTACTATAGCCACCATTAAGGACCATACATGATCATTGCAACCTTTACATCGGTATCGGACAGGGGGTTGGAAGGGGAACGTATCAACAAAATCTGACATAATGTATATTGTTTGTTTCCTGATGAAGCAAGCTTAAGTTGTAATCGTAAGAACATCAATCAATTCCGCTATTTGTATGTTTTGTAATGAATTAGGTATAGGACGAAATACCCTGTTCTATGTCTTAAACAGAAAATAAATCTGAAATGCAATACAGATAGTACAATAAAAATATTATATCGTCTTCTTTTCTTTGAAGAATCTTCGACGTACTTAAAAGTACTTTCGAGACAAGTTATCATAAAGCTTTGTTTGATCATATATGTATAAATACACAACGAAAACATTGATGTATCAACTGTTGTAGAAAATATAACTTCTGGGCATTTCGCAGCATATTAAGTCTACGGAGAATGGTATATGTATCGAATTTTGTTAAAATTCACTTTAGCGGTTAACGATTGGCATCAATGGTCGTAAGTCGTACCCGGTGATGATGAACGATGGTGGTAGATAATATCAGCGGTGAACGCTGATCGGCTATACTCCAATGGACCGTGGAATCTGCCTCCTTTACCATCTGCCTGCAGGCGCAGAATCCCCCTGGACAATATTTGCACTCGGTTAGTATATTGTATATAGATACAACAGTCACGTAAAATAAAGTAATGCTTAAAACTGTATTCCAGATCCGCTCTGGAAGACCTCGGTTCAATATTACTCACGTGACTTGAAATAAAGTATGTTCATCAAAGTCAGTTCATATTTTAGAATCATTTCACAAATGAAATTGTAGAGCAACTTATGCTTTCTAAATATCACTCCGAGACATTTTCGTTTTTTCGATGAAACCAATTTGTTTGAGAAACTAGACTCTTGTAAGATGGAAAATAGGTCTAAGTCCTTTATTTACAAACATATCTACAAGAAATGTACTTGCAAAGAAACCTGATTCTACAACTACCTGTTATGACTCCCTAGAGAGTAAGAAAATATTCATATAGAACATAAATTAATGCTGTATTTATGTACATTTATGGCTGACCAACTTACGTTGATGTAACCTTTACATAATAAATCCATTCTTTGTCCGTATACATTTCCCTGCCGTCGTCCATCATACCGTACTGTTCATACAGACGTTCATGTACTGTTGTGTTGCGATGTACTTTGACAATTCCTGCCCAGCGTGAATCTATTGCGAAAATACTGTCACCTACAATGAAATACGATTTCATTCATTAGCTTATATATATTTCTGAAATATCGTGACTTTGGTCAAGAACTCATTGAAAGTGGACATAAACGAGAATGATATAGACATTGCCCACCGGCTGGGTAGATTTAACAGTGACAGGCCAAGGACTATAATTTGTAAGTTCACACACCGAAGGAAAAAGATTCTCAGCAAGCGCCGGAACCTAAGAGGATCGAAAATTGTGATTTTCGAGGACCTGACCAAACGAAACCAGGACATCCTAAAGCAGGCGTATAGACAAAAGAGTGTGAAGTATTCATATAGTGTGGATGGAAAACTGTTTGTGGTTTTAGAGAACGGTAAAAAAAGAAGACTGGGATATGATACCGAATTATCGGACAGCTACTTAGCAGATGACAGAAACTTCCGATCCGGTAGTGATTATTATCAGTGAATTTATTCATATTTGGATTTTGTATATATGTCTATTTATTCTACTGAGTGATCGATAGTGGACATGGCTACGCTATAG